TGTGTGTGTTTGTGTATTCATGACTGAATCAGAGTGCGTGTGTGTACCTGCACTCCTGAGCGCTGCAGATCTTCCCTCAGTGTGGACGAGGAGGCAGACAGAGGTGAAGATCGTCTCCAACCATCCCACCGCTCCGTCCCTGTGCTACCGTCTTTGTCTGCTTTTTCTTTTCTGTGGACGTTGTCTCCCTCTTGCTTTGCTTGCTATCGTCCAGTTCCCTTCCCTGCCTGGGGTCGCCAGGGTTTTCCCTCTCTGCAGGTTCTCAGCGATTTCTCACTTTGTCTCCTGCAACCCTCCCAATTTCTCCACTCTAGCCCATTTGGAAGATTTAAAGTAAACAGTGAAGAAGAAGAAGAGGACGCCCTCACCTTGTCATCTGCTATGTGGTTCTCCTGGGGAGTGTTGCTGAACTCTGGAATAGGAGAAGGTGAGACACGGCCGACTAGACAAAGAGAAGAAAATCATGATTGAAAACTAACAAATCGTCACTTACTGAGCAGTAAATGTTCCTTTTTCCCAGAACAGTGGGACGCTGTCGGGATCCTTTCACAGTTTTGCAAATTTAAAAAGACAAAACATGTCGGTTGTGGCGTCAGCTACAGACGTTTTTCGTGTTTGGATGACAACTTTTTTCCTTTCAACTCAGCTTTTGCAAAAACAGGCTTTGATTCCGTTTGTCTTTCAACGGTTTATACCTGTTGCCTTCCCTCGGATCCTTTGTCTTCAAGAGTTTCCTTTTCCTGTTTGATATTTCAGTGGGTTGTATGTTTTTCTAGGCCATTTTTGTAGGTTTATGTTCTGTTGAAACTTTCCTGTCATATGTGGGTTTGACGTGTTTGATTACTTGCAGTAGTTGTTGTGTTTTGGAGCAATACTCAGCGGTAGATCAGTTTTAGAAATGGAGGTAACTGCTCTGCATCACTTATCTGACTTGAAGTAGAAAATGACAAGGCTGAAAGGTTAAAACTTGAGCTCACCTCACAGGTGCGCCGCGCAGCTTCTCAGCGAGAATCCTGGGTATGGTGTGGGCCGGCTTTGCTATGATCATTGTGGCCTCTTATACTGCCAATCTGGCTGCCTTCCTGGTGTTGGACCGGCCTGAGGAGCGCATCACCGGCATCAATGACCCAAGGGTGTGTAGAGTATGGTGCTAGGACCATACCATCACACACAACAACATTTTTATTCGTAGAAATACAAAATAATGTAAAACGATTTATTTAATATATATCGATGGAAGTTATTATCAAGCATCATATGACTATCTCCTTCTTTTGTTTGTGCAGCTGAGAAACCCATCAGACAAATTCATCTACGCCACGGTGAAGCAGAGTTCCGTGGACATCTACTTCCGGCGGCAGGTGGAGCTTAGCACCATGTACCGCCACATGGAGAAGCACAACTATGAGAGTGCCGCCGAGGCCATCCAGGCCGTGCGTGACAAGTGAGTCTCGGCCAGGCCGGGCCGACCAGACCTAGTGTCGGCCGGCTGCTCGACCTATCAGACACACAGGCCAGGGTCAGTCCAGTCAGCTTGAGGGTGGGGAAAGGGACATGGACCTCCGGACCAGACGGAGGCGGCAGGTCTTACTGCGGCGCTCCCTCTGATCCAGGCCCATCGCCCGGCCAAGACAGGGACAGAGGCAGGTGTAGACGTGTCAACAGCACTGACACCAGTGTGACATTGAGCTAACATTGAGTGGAGGAGCACCCTTTTTCAGGTTGTACCCAGACGAGATGGGGGGAACCCAATGGGGGACGCGCCCTCACCCATCTGGCATTGGATTTCATTTGGGCCGTAAGCAACGGTAGCAATGGCTGGTAAAGGCTGAATGACACACACGATGTGGTGTGCGAGAGAGAGAGAAAGAGAGAGGGGGTGGGAGCCGTAAATGTGTATGTAAATCATTGTACTGTTGCACCGTAACCCCCTCCTTCCCCTCCTCCTCCCACCTTCCTCCTCCTGCCTTCCCCCCTCCCCCTCCCCCACAGCAAGCTGCATGCTTTCATCTGGGACTCTGCGGTGCTGGAGTTTGAAGCCTCGCAGAAGTGCGACCTGGTGACCACGGGAGAGCTGTTTTTCCGTTCGGGCTTTGGCATAGGCATGCGCAAGGACAGCCCCTGGAAACAGAATGTGTCCCTGGCCATTCTCAGGTCTGTCCCAGCCGAAGCTGCATTACTCGTATGACTTTTCTTTTTTTGTTCCTTATCAATTTGATTTTTTGGTCAGATATCGACCAGTTATAGCCACCCAATACATTGCCTTATGTCACATCTTCTTCTCTGTATCTCCCCTCTCCTGCCCTCTCTGTCTGTCTGTCTGTTTGTCTCTGCACCTGTCCAGCTGTCTGTCTATCATTTGGGAGTAAGCGGCTCGATTTATCCCGTCACCGCGGTGTATTAACTTTGTCACCTCTCTCCCCACCACCCCCAACCCCCTACAGTTCTCATGAGAACGGCTTCATGGAAGACCTAGATAAAACCTGGGTGAGATACCAGGAGTGTGACTCAAGGAGCAATGCCCCAGCCACACTCACCTTTGAAAACATGGCAGGTATGGTCATCATGGCGTAGCGAAAGCATTAAAAAGTGATTGGACAAAAACTGCAGTGGTAAGGTACTGTAGCCCTTTTTTGTCCAATACCTTTACAAAATCATTGTGTTAGTGTCGGCGTGGATGCTCTGTGGAAGTGTGGCGTTCAGTATCGTGTGCTGTGCCTTTGTGTGGTTGTGGTTTATTGCGATAAAGTGGTTTTCAGCCGCCGCGGTCAGTAGGAGCTGGTTGAGGAAGCAGGGGCGACCACTGGGCATGAAGGGCAGACCTTGAATTCATGCTGAGTGGGAGCAGCAGGATTGTCGCCCACCAACTCACATGTTCCTCTCTCTTCTCTGTCTCTGTTCGTCTGTCCCTCTCGGAAAGGTGTCTTCATGCTGGTGGCTGGAGGCATAGCAGCCGGGATCTTCCTCATCTTCATTGAAATCGCCTACAAACGGCATAAAGACGCCCGCAGGAAGCAGATGCAGCTGGCCTTTGCGGCCGTCAATGTTTGGAGGAAGAACCTGCAGGTAGGAACGCTCACACTCGGGGGGGAAGGGCCAAAACTTGGGTGCAAGAAAGCCAACAAAGACCCTCAAGGGGGTCAATTTCTGGAACCTTTTCATCGCTGGTGGTCAAACTGCCACGTTACCACATGAGAAACCATGATCTCCGTTGTCCTCATGTACTGCAAGCGGCCACCTTGTAGGTCCTAAGCGTTTCGAGAGGCCAACAGCGCCCGTGTGTCTTGTGTGTGCCTGCAGGACAGTAAGGAGGCTTCTGGAAGTCAAGCGGCGGCCGGGACGCCCTCATTAGTATGTAACGTTAAAGCAGGGGCCATTTACACCTCATATCACCTCTCGCTGTTAAACTAACGATAAGATAACTGGCTTTGTGGCCCACCAACATGATGGACATCAGGTTTAAACCTCCACCTTCCATGTCCATGGCATGAACTCGTAGTTCTAAGCTGCTGCGGTGCTTTTACGCTTCATAAGGTCAGATGAAGTGGACATGGAGCCAAGGAAAGAAATAAATCTGCAGTGATACAGTGATTACTGTGTGAGTGATGCTCTTTGATCGTATCATATATTAACAGCAGCCACGGGCAAACAACACAAATAGAGCATGAAGAGTAAAATCAATGCCCTGGCACAATTGCACAGCAGTGACTCTCCCAGTATTGTCAGCATAACTGCAAAGTGTCACGCTGCAGTACACACTGTGTCTACAACAAACAAACAACAACAAACAAAGAGTGTGCCTGCCGGAGGCTTCATTCAACATAGTGGCATCAGATTCAAGGGTCAGTTCTCCAAAATTTCAAAAGTGCATATCTTCAAATTCTTCTTGTGCTTGTGGTGTCAAGTCCTGCGAATAATTTTGGTTGCATGAACTGCAAGTTTGACATATCTAAACCTATAAAATCAAGGCAAACCGAATTACATCTTCTTCTTGAAAGCCACCAGCTTGATGAGACACCACAAGTAAATGAGAATTTAGCATTTTTAAATTGAGTGAACCGCCTCTTCCATGTTCCAGCGAAGAACATGATTTGCCGCTGTGCTCCAATGCACTCGATTGTGGCAGTGAAGCGTTGGAGCTTCTCTCCCGCGCCCACACACGCTCTGTTCCTTTACTCTTTATGGTTTTGATTCCTGATTGGAGAGTCTGTGATGTGGCCCCGGCAGCCCGTCTGCTGCCTCTCTGTAAAGCTCAGTGTCTTGGCCCTGCTGAATAGTGACAGCAGGGCTGGAGGAAGGTACAGTATAAATCACAAGTGCCTGTCAGCAAATCCGTGTCCTCCTGAGAGTGTCTGCCATCGACCTGACTATTGTATGTAACTGTCGTGAGTGTCTTCATGTGTTCGTTCTCCAGGTGCACTCAGCAGGCGAATGCATGCGGGGGGGGGGGGCATCACTGAGAAAGGAGAGGGACACACTAAACTGCTCGCAGACCAGCGCGTTTTAGATCCATGTCGGTGGTGATCATGTTGATTCCTCTGCTTCGCTGAGCAGAGACAGCTCATGCATGTTCATCTGGCTCATCGACCGTCACCGTGGGCCCTCGAGCTAAAAGAAAGGACACACACAATCTTCACTGCTCTAACTATAACTGCCGTAATGGGGTCTCATGCAAGGAGCACAGAGAGGGAGCCCCTGAGTCGAACTAATACAATCTGTTCTGTTCTGCGTGGACTTTATTTAGGGATATTATTAATACTGTTTGGTTGCGCTGCTGCTCTGATTACTCACTGTGATCTGATTTGCACAAATTCCATATGACAACTTGGTTATGTAGGACACAAACTCAGCACGATGGAAAAATCCAAGTTCACAGTTTGTGTGGCCTCCTCCTTCCTTAGTGCGGCACTGAAACTCGGACTCCCGTCGTCGGCATCATTTTGACTGCTTGCACACGTGTTTGTATGTAACTATGTGCTTATACTGCCTCAGGTCGGTGTATGATGCAGAGCACTGTAGAGTACTGTGCACCCACGTACCTTTCAAAATGAGGATCTAATCTCTGAGCGCGTGCACTTCTGACTAAGTGAAATCTGTTCACGTGGTACACAACTCATCCCCCGCTGGCTGACATCATCTCCACACGTTGTCGGAATAGAAGTTAATTATCTAAGGTGCATGCAATATTAGAGCTGCATGTCTAAGACTGTTTAGGAACTGAAGCCACAGAGATGTAGAGGGAGCAGATCTGCTGAATCTCAGATAGAACATTAAGCATTTAGCTGCATTTTAAAACTAATTGAATCTCTATCATTTAAATTCATAATTTAAATCACACGAAGTACTATGACTAATTTAGTTTTACTTTCAGCTGAGGACACTGTTTGAAAATAGGCTTTTTACTGTCCAGCACAGAACACAGAACAAGCTGGTTAACATAATGGTGCATTAATATTTCCCAGAGGAGATGATGGAGAAACTCAGAGTTAATTTTGGATTTATATTCATCATGTAGACAGAGACACAACTTCAAACAGGAGCTAATTTTACTTTTACCTGCAGGGCCTGTAAATGTGTAACTGTTTGCTAACTAATTCCACAAATTAAAGATATAATATTTCGCAATTATTCTTTAAAATGTTTAAAAAAACAAAGTAACAGGACTTTTTATTTTGTCGCCTTTTAAATGCGTCATATCCTCTTTACCTTTGAGAATTAGGTTGTATTGACCTCTACATCCCTGAGAGGCTACATGTGTGGCTTGTGGCTTTCCCTTTAAAAGCAGATGTTATTCAGAAGTGCACCATCTGAGCTAAAAACAACGTGTCCGCTCTCTACCGACGATTATGATGAAGTATGATGATGCTCTGCGGCGGCTCGTGTGTTTCCAACGCGAAACAAGCGGCTTCCTTCTCCACACTGCGCAAGTGCCAATGCTTCATCCGACGGTCCAGCATGCACTGCATGGCCGGGACTGTGCGCACGCAGCACCTCATCAGGGCTCAGAGCAGCCAGACTGCAGCCCGACGATTAAAAGAAGAGCACTGATGTCACTTGGGCACTGATTTTTTTTTTTTTCTGAACCAAGACGAAAAGTTACACAGGCTGAATTTCACCATTTACTAACATGAAATGTCATCTTCCAACAGGAAAAAACGTTTTATTTGCTATTACCTGCTCTAAAATCAAGTGATGTTGTGCCAGCTTTCATCTCCACTCCACGCCAGCTAGTGCCTGCCCTCCACCTGACATCATGTCTTCAGGGCTTTGAGAGGAGAGCACAGGTTGGCGGTGTGATGGAAAGCGTACCCTAAAAGAGCCTGGTCATGTGACCTGATGAAAAAGGATGTACTGCGGGGCCCAGTGCTGGCCAGGATTGATTTGTCATGCTATTTGTTTTGTGTTTACTAAGTTTTTCCCCCTTTATTCCTTCCCTCCATCCATAACAACGTTTTTCGGCATGTTGAAATTCACACCACACTGCCCCGCCCGCCCCCAGGGCCTCCCCTCCCGGCAACCGCTCACTCATCCTCCACTTCTTCTTTACGAACATGCGTCTCAGAGCTGCTTTCTTTCTTTAAAACATTTAGCCTCTTGAAATCAAACAAATGGCTAATCTCTCTTTTCTTTTCTTTTTTGCACTTTTAACATAAGCAATATCTTTTTGCATTTTTAGCAGTAGGAAACCATTCCTCCTCAATCTTATATTTGTTTGCACTCTTTTAGCATTTTCCATCTCATTCCCTTGTGTGTGGGGTGAATTTCCATTATACCGCTTTCAGGTATAATGTCTTTAAATGGGCTTTAATTACTGACATTTGTCGCTGTTGTTTTTCCTCTGATATGCATTTTACTGGCCTCTGATACTGTAGCTTCTCGACTTTTTAATACCTGCCTGGCTTTGGATGTGGATGTTTGCTTTGCTAGTTTTTCCTCTTTTTTTATATATCCATCCTTTTTTGGCTTTTGCTTATAAGGATCTTCTTTAAAGTAATAACGATCAAGTGGATGGAAATTTATTTCATTTTTCTTTTCTCCCCCTATGCAGCCCTCTTCCTCTCTAGAGACTCAGGATGTAAGAATACCTTAACATGAGGTTTTTTTTTCTTTGCACACAAACACGCAGTTATTGTGCTGAGAGTAGCTGTGGGGCACTCTGACGGTAAACGAGGGGAGGGAGGGCACCAAACTGCCTCGACATCTTCTCAGGAAACAGCTTCTTTTTCTTTATTTTATAGCGGATATGTACTCTGAGCGGTGTCAGAACAAGTACCGAGTAGATTCGAGATATCTTTAAAGGTCATGTTTGGCATTTTCAGTTGAACTTTCAACTGTGAAGTGTGTGTTCAGGCATTATCCAGCGTACGGGCAGAATATTTCAGATGGTAAAAGCAGTTTAATGCAGGTATCACACCCACTGACATCTTTACTAGTCATCACTCATTTCAATGCATTTCTAGAGGTCGAGTCAGTGTGTGTGCACATTTCTAAGGCACAAACTGTGCCATCAAGCCTGAGCAGATATTTCCACTCTCTAACAGGCTGTATCCCTTTCTTTCTCCCTCATTGTGCATATTACACTTCCAAGTGCTGTAATCTTTCTCACAGGGACCCTCCCTCTATTTAGACAATACACAGTAAGGTAATTTACTGGGGTGGTGGTGGTGGTGGTGGGAAGAGAGCACGGGTGAGACTGGAACCACAGTTTTCACCCCAGCCAGAGAACATGAATAATGTTTCTACATATATTTATTTTAGGATAGGAAAAGTGGTAGAGCAGAGCCCGACCCCAAAAAGAAAGCCTCTTTTAGGTCCATCAGTACCACCCTGGCCTCCAGCATCAAGAGACGTAGGTCCTCCAAAGACACGGTAAGGAGACGAAGAAGCAACATCTTCCCTTGTTTACTCCTCCGTCTCTTTTTCCTTTTCCTCTCCTCCTCCTCTTCTGTCTCTTCCTCCGTCCTCTTTCTCTGTCCTCTCTGCCAACATCCCCATATCCGACCGCGACAGAGACCCATATTCCACTCACCCATTTCCACGCGACTCCGCAGCCTCTGCCACGTGTCTGTCCCTCTCACCATCGATCAGCCATCACCATCTAGCATCTGTAGCTCCTCTAAAGGCCGGAGGGCATCAGTACAGGAACTCAGGTCAGGCCAGGGAGCAGGCGTCCCACGTGTCCAGGGTTTTTTTTTGATGGGATTAGTGGCTTCTGGAGGACGGGGGCGACAAAAGCAAAAAGCAGTCTGCCAGTGGTGTTTTGTCTTGGGCTGCTCTTCCTCCGTGCCGCTAGTTTGGACGTGGATTCTGGCGATTGTGTCCTATTTGGTGGCGATGTGGTGTGTGTACTGTACATGAACGTGTGTGTCTTTATATGTCTGTGTTTGCGTCCTGTCTTTTTGATTGCTTGATCCTTCGTATATTTCCACCTTTCTTTGCACCAATCCCGCTCACCCTTCCTCCGTTTGGGTTTCCAAAGCTGTTGGTTTGCTTTTGGTTTGAAAAGCATGCGCTGGTGTTCTGTCTTTTTCTTTTCCCATCTTCAAGGTAGTCGTCGTGACGGCCGGTCCTCCTGAGAAGAAAACTAATGTGCTGTCTTATTGATCAACAGGATTACACTCATGGATTCCGATTAATCAAATTACTTTTTGCTTTGTCATATTTTATTTGTCATGATTCTTATTTATTTTTCAGTGTCCTCGTGCTCTGACCTGTGCATGCCTCTTTCAGGGAATATTTTCAGGTGGTGAAAATGCTCTTTTCTTATGTTTTAACCGGCTACAAACTCTGTGAAGCCTCAGACTCTCATTGTGTTTTAAGGCAAGCGTAAACACAAGCTCTCCTCTCTTTCCCTAAATTGTGTTTTACACCATTTGTGTTGCTTGACTCCTTTGTTGCAGCATAATGAGAGTGTCAGGTTTTCTTCACGCCTTCACAGTTCAGATAAAAAGCCCCGTTCGTTGCGGTTGGAAGGTTCTGCTCCACAAGCTCGGAGTGCTCTGACAAACCAGTGACCCGCGGCCTTTGTCCCCAGCTGCTTTGCTGGTCGCCGACCGAATCTAGAACGGGCCTCTAGAATAAAAAACAAGGACGATAAATCTCTGGAGATGTAGCACAGACACCTTCACGGAAAGAGAGGCTTCTGGAAGAACACTGTTTTGACTGTGTGTAGCCTGAGCTAACGGGTCACACAGTAAAGATATATTTTTTATTTGCTTTCCTGTCTTTCTCTCTTTCTCTTGTGGTAACTCTTTTTTTTGGGGGGGGATGTTTGGCCAATACACCTCTCCTCCTCCCTGGAGGTTTCTCATTTGAATCGGTCTTGTTTGAAGAGAAGAAGAAGTGGAATCGCCATTTTTAAATATGTCTCTACGATCATTCGGATGCTGGTTTGGGACCCCTAGTGGATACAAAAAAATTATATACAACAGGTTTTTAGTATCGTTACAACAAAGATGCTCTACTTGAAAGATTTGCCATCTTCAGTCTTTGACCATTATTTTGATTTTATATAAATGTTCTTCTTTTATATTAATGGATATCAATGGACTTGAGTGTCAGTGTCCCTCACCCACATGCCACACTGCTCCTCTCTCCCTCTGCAAGCATGCCGACTACTCTGTCATAGAAACGGTAGAAGAAGTAGAAATGATCCTTTTTTTTCTTTTAATCGTGCCACATGTTAAGAATTATTGAATTAGTAGCTTTATAAGCATTTATTGTGGTTGTGATGTCAGTGAAGTGTCTCTCTCTTGCTGGTCCACTTGACCCCCAGTAGGGTGCGCTGTTAGCAGGTCCTCAAGGTACAAGACATTATGGAGGGGGCTGTAAGCCACATGATGATCATGATGCAACTCGCGGGTCAAGTAGATGAGCAACATCCACAATTTTCCACTTATGATTCGGTCTGGATGTTGCCTCATCTGTCAGCATGTTAGTTGCATCACAACAGCTTCTAAAGCTCACATGCTTGAATACACTGGCTCTAAAGTGAGAGGCGGCAAAATTCGAAGATCTTGCCTCCTTGAGAAAATGCAAAACAATCTTTGTGAGACCGGTAAAACGGAGGCAAGACTCTTCCCTGTTCTGGTTCTGCAACAATATTCATTTGTTTTGCATTTAATGTTCTAGCAAAAGAGGTATTCTTGCACATTGGTCGTTGTGGTTTTACCAACACAGCGCTGAGTCAGGATTACGATTGGCATGTTGGAAATCAGTTGGATTATGAAGAGCATAACGCAGATGACTTTACTGCTCCAACCAATTTCCAAAAAAGATGAAGCAATTCCACAAAAAAAACATCTCTATTCATCAAGTATTTGACTTTATTCACAGTGTTTAATCAGGCATTGTTTCATCAGGTTTCTATTTTCTCGCTCATTAGCAGAAAAAGCCTCTTCAGCATTGTGCAAACGTGGCTCGCTGCTGTCGAACACTGAAAAGACTTGGAGGCAAAAAAAAAAAAAAATTACTGTTGCCATAGAAACTGAGCACCTGCATGGAACCGGGATGCGGTTCCCCTCTCATCACCGTAGACGCCTACAATTCAACGCACTCTGCTTTGAAAGAAGCACAGTGAAGCGGGGATGGGACGTAAGAGTCTATCACAACAGCACTTTGAAATCGGCCTAAAATCTCATCTTCTCTGCACCCAGCTGCTAAAATTAGACGAGTCGCAGTACAAATGACTGCAGGGAGATGAATGAGCTGTCCGCTCTATATCCAGGGCAGAACATGATCACCCAGGCTGAAAAGACAAATATAATAAACGATGCCCAATTCAAATTTGCTGTTGTCTGCTCTCGGGGCTTTACGTCCGCTCCCAACTAGCCCACCTCAGGCAAACTGCTTCCAAAATCTAACATTAAAAGATTTCAGAATGAAACTGAGGTCTGCCTGAGAGGGGTTAGAGAAAACCTCCTGCTTCAGAACCCGTGAACCTTCCGTCCTTTGGTTTTTCTGTTTCAAAACAGAATAATAAAAAACATTGATTAAAAGGGAAAACATGTAAAAAAAAAAGGAGAACCAGAAAAATAACATGGTGATTTAAGTTTGTTTTCCATCGGTGGAAATGTAGAAGCAGAACTATTTCTGCTGCTCATTCACTGTTGTTAAAGCCGCACTTGAGCCTTGTGGCGAAATTATTTCATAAGTGAGTAGATTAGTTCCGTCAGTGTTTTGGTGAAGTCAGCTTTCAAGCTCCCACTGAAAACAACAAAACCTTCTCCAGGCCACTGCTTTCTATAAAGTTGAGACCGTGTTCCTGCACCTCCGCATTTCCCAAAGCGTTGTATTTTTCCACATTATCACAATAACAAAAAAAAATAAAATAATTTTTCCGTTTTGATTTTCAACCTGGAAAACTTGACGCTGTTTTCACACTCTGGTCGCCAGTTGTTTGTTTTTATGACTCTGGTTCGAAACAGAAAAACCAAAGAACAAAGGGTACATGGATTCTTTTGGTTCTTAAAATCAAAATTAACTTTAACATTAAGGAATAATATTGAAAAAAAAAAAAAAAGACAATATGCTGCTGTTGCCAAGAAATGACATCTTGTCATGTGTCTCCTTTTTCCCTCCATTTGTCTTCACCTCTGCAGCAGTACCCACCCACTGACATCACGGGCCAACTCAACTTGTCAGACCCGTCTGTCAGCACTGTGGTGTAGGAGCGAGGGAGCCACCGAGGTCCGCTCCCCCAGAGGAGAGAGGAAACCAGACTAGGAAGGAGGAGGGAGAGGAGGAGACCATTTCCCCTGTTCCCTTCGAAGGCCGAAGCTTTTCTTTTCCCTGGAGAAGAGGCTGAAAACCTTTGCACCTTTGTTTTTTGTTTTTTAACATAGATCCCTGAGCATGCACTGACGAACCCATCTGACTCATCTACAATCCTTCTGTATATTATCCGCCAACTTATTTAACCTTGTTTCCGTCACAGATCACAGATTTACTTAATGTTGGGTGTTTATCTAAGTTCCTCCGCAGCTGTATAGCATTTAGCAAGCCAGGGTTAGTTTGGTTCTTTTAGGGATTTAAACCAGTTCTACATATCACTTCTAATTAGGGCCTGGAAACCATTGTAATGTTTAGTATTTCTTAACAACATGTACTGCAATAGAAGGCGGACTGTATAAGCTTCAAAGTATTTTTGAATAGGAACTACCTGTGTTTTTATCTACACTTTTAGATGATGGTGGGAAACACTAATAATAATAACGGCACTAACAAAAAGGATATGACTAATCTTGTCTAATGGAAGCATGTGTATAAGAGCTTTATGTATCTGAATGAGGATATTGATGTTTGTTATTTTGAAGATATAGAGTTTGTTTCTCGTATTTAATCTTGCACCGATCTCCCAAAACGCATGTGTTCTTATTTCTACCCGGCTTCTTTTAGAGAATCTGTTTAGCTTTAATGCTCGGGTGAAGTTTACAGGAGAAGAGTCGTCATTTCACTGATGAAACGTTACGTGAGGCTGCTGTGTTTCTTTATGTTGTTTTGTTTTTTTTCATGTCAGAACAATTTTGAGATGCAGCCACAAGCTATGTTGTGTCTGGGGACGCCCTCTCTCTTCCTCTCTCCTGCCGCAGCAGACTTTCTCATTTCCAGTCCAGAAGGGGTTGCATCAAAGGGCCAGGTTTTTCACCCAACCAGAACTCGGTCTTTCCTGCAAAACCTCCTCCCTGAGCCGAGTCGAGCCGGGGCGGGAGAACTTTTACAAGAAGGAACCTGAGTGAATTGAAAGCTTTGCTCGGGCCTGCGAGTTTGTGTGCAGGTCTTGGTTAGATGCAAAAACAGGCCTTTTCCCATTTTCTGGATCTGAGAAACCACTGCTGTCGGTTGACAAAGACTATCACTATCCTTCCTGGTGTCTGGCACTGCAGAGCACTTTATGTCGAGGGGTCTCCCAAACTGAAAGCTGCTGACTTACCCAGAACAGAACCACTCGAACATCAGTCTGACGAATTCACTTCTCCACTGTTTCAACTCCACAAATCTCTTTTTACTGCTTTATTGAGAAATCGTGTTTACAGTCTTTATAAAAAAAACGAAATAACACTTTTAAAACACAATTTGGTTTCTGAACTTGAACCGAGATGTTGCTTCTGATCCTTTTCTCCTTCCAGCCTGTGCATGCTTTTGTCTTCTTATCGGTGCTTTGGTTTGTTTTCCGGATGCGTGTTGTTGCCGTGTACAGGGAGCTGAGCTGCGCCTCAGTCAAATGAAATGTAAATAAGAGTCTTATGTTCAGTGTAGGTGAGGCTGAGGAGATTGTACCGCGCTCGTTTGATGACTGCAGCTGAGAATGTCCGATGTTATAGTTACACACTACAGTTGTGATACACAGGCATGCATTAACACACACACACACACACACACACACACACACACACACACACACAAAGACAAAACCCCTAAAAGGAGAAATTGCCTGTTTTTCTTACCTTTTTCCAGTAAAGATTTCATTGAATCATCTTGTTTATACAACTGTAAATAAAATATACTTACGTTGCCAACTCTAATTATAGTCATTTCATTATTTAAGGATTAAAACCACCAGTTGCTCACATTATGAATTAATCCAAGTCTCAATCAATCAAATTGTGTTATTGGCTGCAAAATATCACAAACTGCTGCATAGTGAAGGATCCGGATCCTTGTCAAAATTCACCAACTGTAACAAAACTCAATATGGATATTTGCATCAATATATATACGAATTAGAAACGATTCGGCGAGAGCATCAATTAAAAGGCCTTAGAGAAGAGGAGGGTTTTGCATTTCCACCATTTAAAAAGTGTTGAGATCGCACAGCAACACAACTTGACACAGATTTGTTTCACAGCTCCACTGTTCGCTGCTGAGAACAGTTGAGCACTAATGGAGAGAAAGTGCTGCTCACACGGGGGAAGCATCGCATTTGGCAGCAAACTTACCAGCAGGTGGTCTGATCTGGTTTTGGCAAACAGGAACATTTTTCATCCTCATGGTCCAGCAGAGCATGATGGAGCCTCTGTCTTGCAAGAGAAAATGAAAGTAATTTCCCAGTCATTTTGATTTATTATTCGAGACAGGACTGTTAATTAACTGCCACAAACTGATCTATTGGTTGGAATTAAATTCTTAAATAATCCTAGTGATGTTTTCATTAGTGTGGGATCATCTCAAATGTACAAATTGTAGTTTTCTTTACCCTCAAATGAGCAAATGATGAGTAAAGTTTTAATTTAATTCAAATGTCAGCAGTAAAATCTCCTGAGACTTGACCTGCAGACAGTGGAGGTCACCATAAACCAGAGTGAGGTGAAACATTTAAATGAGTGCAGCTTGAAGAACAGCTCCAGTGCAACACTTTAAAAGCTCCTGCAAAATCACTCATAACATATTCTGCAAAAACAGGATTTCTGCTAAAATATACTTTTTAAAAAAAAACTGGATTTACATTTACAAAAAAAAGTAAAAGGCTGTGGTGAGGATGCAATTTGCAAGTCTGTTTTTTTTTTTATTTATCCATTCACATGCAAATCCAGCATGAAAACAACATGCAGCCCTGCAGCCCTGCAGCTCTGCAGCTCAACAGGCCAGTTTGCTTGGGCCTTGTTTACCCATTAAAAGATTAATGATTCATATTTTTCTTAACAAGGAAATGACACAAAGGCTCCACCCTGACTAACCCTGAATGTGAATGAGCTGCAGGTTTCATCTGTCACCGGCTCTGGCCTGGATAGAAACATTTTTCCCTCCGTGGCACCAGTATCCTTGGAGCTGTGCGCATTCAGGAGCTGATCCAGGCGCACGAACTGGAGGAGGGACATAAATTCAGCCCCGTCTCTTCTTTGCTATCTCAAGCGAAATGTAAATCAGGAGGCAGGTGAAGCGTGACACCTCACGCGGAGGTTATGGTAACTGAGAAAAGCCGTGCGCCACTTCTCCCTCTCCGGTCAGTCAGAGCTCAGGTTTCCAGGCGCACGGAGGAGCCGCTCCTCTCACTTCTCACCGTCACGTCATGGCTCAGCAGCGCTCCTCTCATCCTGTCCTCCCCGTCCTCCTCCTGCTCGGCGGGGTGGTCGCGGTCCTGCTCCTCACTGTCCCCACTCGGGATGTCCAGGAAGCGCCGGGGTTCGCGGTAAGTTCCGCTGGGTATTTTTGGAAACGTGTCTGTCAGTTCACGTGTGAGGTGTGAAACTCAAGCTCTGTAGTGCATGTGAAGGCTGCAAATATATTATATATATATATATATATATATATATATATACCTGAGTGCAGCCTCAATGGAGGAAACAAGTGATATTATTCTTATATTCTGGTTCATTAAGTCTTTATTTTTACTTGGTTAAAACATTTGCAATATAGCAAAGTACAGGAAGTAAACAAAACCAAGACACACCAAGACAACACAAATAAGAAATTTGCAAAAGACCAAAAGTAAAAGCTTTAGTTCATAAAATAAAACAAAACAAACAAACAGCAAAAACTTTCACTAATCAGAGATCAATTATTATATGTCATTATAATGTTAGGTATTTGACTCGTGTTACATTGCTTAGGAGTTTATGTGGAGTTTTGTTTGATGGTCGGCACGATTACGCAAAAACTGCTGAATGAATTTCTACAAAACTTGTAGAAAGATGGAACTTGGGCAAAGAAATAACCCAACAAATGTCAGCGTCCTATCCACAGACGGGCTGTAGTTGCCCAATTAGAATATCATAGAACTTGTCTGAGAACAGACAAAGGATTAAAGATCCAGAGTGCAGGACTTGGGGGGGAATTTCTGAACTTCCTCTTCCACAGAGTCCGCCATGTTTGTACTGTAGAACAGACAAACCGAACACTTCCCCTGGAGTCGCCCTTTAAATTCTTGCTGCAGGCCGCCGTAGGTTCGACATGCTTTGACAACGTTGGTTGAAATTAGCAACACCAGTAAACTAAACTGTCAACGCAACTGAGTGTCAATGTACAAAGCTCCACATCCGTCATAAATCCAACATGTCTGAAGTGAAGTTTCAATGTTTTCTTATATTGTAATTATTTAATCAAAGTTATTGCAACAACAAACCTCCTCAGCTGAAGATGTGAACCTGCATTTGCAGGGTTTTAATCTGTAGTTTGCTGCTGTTTGGGGATTCAGAGCAGGATTTCAAACAGGCCGACTCCAGCTCCCGTTTCCTTTACTCCTTCGTTTTTGTGTCACCCGCCCATGGTTCCTTTCTTTTAGCCAAATGTTGCTGCTCTTTCACTCAGTCACAAAAAAGGGCACAAAGGGTTTTTTCTTACATTTTTCAGGGAGACGAGTTCAGCAGTTCCCATAGTGTGTCAAAACGAAAGCACAAAACAGATCATTAGAGCATCGCTGTGTCTTTGGCAAGTGTTGGAGCGAGTCCTCACGACTGACTGCGCAGCAGTAATGACAGAATGAATATCAGATATAACGAGGAACACTTCCACATCTTACCGTTCACCTGTTGTGTGACTCTCAGAGCCTGAGGCATGTTTGTTTGTTTTGTTTGTTTGTTTGCCTGATGGTGTGTGTGTGTGTGTGTGTGTGTATCTATCTCTGCACATGCGTTTGTGTGTCTGTGTGTGTGTGTGGGCATGTGCGATCCCTCCCCGTTGGATCATCTGTCACATTCCCTCTTGCATGGCTGAATTTCTGCATATTCAGAGTCCAGGTTTCTTTCAGTTAAACTGGCATTACAGCTTATTTGTGCCTCTGCGGTGCAGCGACAATGGAAGCAGTGTCAGGACAACAGGTCTTTAATCGCTGCAGACAGAAGACTTTCCATTAAAGGAAATGATTTGACTTTTAATAGAAAATTCAAATGTTGAATTGAATCCAGGATGTATAATGGCTTCATTGTTTATTTATCTCAGTGTGTTTATGAGGAAGATTATCAGCACACTCTATTTCCTCACATATTAACTGTTAACGTGTACAGGATGATACTGCAGGATGACAGTTCACTTCCTTAGTTTGAGCTACCGCTGGCCTGAAAACAACAATTGTTAAATGCATGAAAAGTGAAGAGACATCAACTAGAACAGCTCTCAGTGAAGCACCTTCCCTCCCCCCAGCGCCCCACAGTCCCTTAAACTAAGCTGCACCCATAGATATCAGTGCTTTAAATGTGCCTGGTGGTTTTCATCAATATTCATGAATGAATCCCTGGGAGATGTTGAATGTTGTGTCGCAATGTTAAAGAAAGTGATTTAAAAAAAATCCTGGATTGACCCCCTTATCCAAACCTGCTCAAAAACATAACGAGTTCTTCCCTGACCCACGTTGCAGCTCTGCCACAAAGTTTGTCGAAGTTGTCTTTCTATGTCATCTGATACTCACAAGGCTTTCTTTGAACACTGACTTTATTATTTAACCTCTGCCCCGTCCGTCTGCAGTGAACGCCTTCCAGATGCCAGAGTTCAGTTCAAACACACAAGATTCTAAACATGTTCATTGACCTTGTTGACTGGAATGCTCATAGACGTCTCTGTTCTCTACCCCCATCGCTTTCTTATGACTGTTTATTATTTTGTCTCTCTGTAGTACGGGATCGTCCTGGACGCTGGATCGTCACACACGGCGTTGTACATATACAAGTGGCCGGCGGACAAGCAAAACGGCACAGGGGTGGTCACCCAGCACAGTGAATGTCATGTTAAGGGTTAGTAAAAAAATTTTTTAAAAAACCCTGAAAAAGTTTCCTTCTTTACAGAAGTATTGTTACATTATCTGTTTCTACATTGAATCATCACTGGCACATCTGTGGGAAAGTTTATTTACACACTGGCAGTTTCTCACCTTAAAACACACAGAAGATAAGAAACAGGAAACTTAAGTCAAACAACAAACAACAACGTTTGTGGAATTAGTAGAAGTAGTAGTAGTAGAAGTTCGTAGTAGTAGTAGTATAGCTTCCATCCTTTCTAACCTCCTGAATGTGAATGTTTGATCAGTAAAACACCGGCTTTGTGTGGAGTTTACCTTCAACCCTCTGATTGTGACATTAAACCAGGAACACTGAGTGAGTAAGTGGGATCTGACGAAGATCAACCAGCCCAGCTATAATAAAAAATAAAATGCTCCAGTCTGAAGTGAACTTGAATCTCATTTTGGAAATCTTTGTTTACCTCAGATTCGTATTATTATTCATATTAAGTCAGTAACCAGGGACATGTGGTTGTGTTGGTTGGTGATTTTTCCGTTGGAGCCGAGAGAAGCAACGTTACTTCCGCGTTGACTGATACGTTTTCAGTCATCACGTTTCTACTCTGTTGGGTGCGATTGAACCGTATCATGATGCATCTGGGTCACAGCAGCGAGCACGAGCCGGAGGATGTTGTCGTCTGATTTTTTTCATGTTTCCTGTTCTTCACTCATTCAGGCGGAGGGATCTCGAGCTACGCCGGCCAGCAGGGAGCAGCCGCGCAGAGCTTAGAGGCCTGTCTGGACCAGGCGGTGATCGACATCCCCAAAGAAAGACACCGGCTCACGCCTGTGTACCTGGGAGCCACAGCCGGCATGAGGCTTCTGCAGTGAGTCTAAGTGTCTGTCTGTCCGTCTTCCTTAGAGTGACTGAGCCCGACAATATTGTGATCTAACCCGACCCAAGCCCGATCTTCACACTGGATACATAAATTCATAAATAGCATATATAGGGATGACTGATAGGTTGGTGGCCCATATATTATCCTCCAATAAATAAAATGGATTAAGAGTTTTCAGTCAGTTATTGTCAGTTATCTTTAAATTCTCTTACCTCTTCACTTGTGTCTGTTGTTTTCTATCAGTTAATGAAAAATAATTTTAGACTTTATTCCTCTCCTTTCATATTACCATTAGTTGTTATCTTTATGTCCTTTATATTTAGCATATAAAACACATAAGTTCCACACAAATAGGTTGTTATTTAATCATTTGTAACAAGTTGACTAAGGTCGAATAAAATTACATTTTGACATAAATTTGTTTTCTACACGATGCTGTGTGAGAGAGACTCCAGGAAGTTAAAGCAACTTGTTCCTAGGAAAGGGAACTTGTCTTATCTTGGGTGACACAGTTATCTGTGTTTTGCATTCGCAGCGGCTCAGTACCAGTTAGATATGAGCCCTGCAGGAAGGAGCTTCTTTCTTTTTTTCAATGAGGTGACACAAGCACATATATTAGCTCCAGGAGAAGTTTACTAATGAGTCTCTGCTTTTTCCCTGCTCAGAGCATTTCTGCAGCAGTGCTCCTTCAGCTTTACTGATTTTATATAGCAGAAATAGATATGGTGTTATAAAGAGCATGAGTGTTTATTTTTATTCACACGACCCGCATCACCGATAATTAGGCGTGACAGTGTGTGAAGCTTAAAGAGCACGGAGCAGGGGTGTTGACATTGTGCTCAGACATGCTGGTAAAAACACAACCGCTGGAGAACCAAACCTCGCCCAGGACGGTTTCAATTCATTCACTTGTAACTTCATGAGTTTTACTTTATACAGTAACATATTAAAAAGATGCAGGAGTAGAAAAGCATATCTTATCACTTAAGCTTATCGCTGCACTTTGAGCTCAGACACATGTATCCATTATCTGATGTAGACAGCAACTCCTAACAAAACTTTTATTTGATTTACAAAATAAAAAATCATGATCCAGATCCACACCAAATTTCACCTATCCATAGATTTTAACCTTCTACATGTGTCAGAGTTTTGTTTCATAAAGATCTCTGCATTATTTCTTGGGAGATTCACAAAATCCTAAAGGAAGTGGGGGGAATCCTGTATCTGCCCCTTGATCCAGGAATCCACTCCAACGCTTATTGTGTTTTTGTTGTCTGGTTGGATTCATCCATCGTCTGTTTCAGCTGAAAGATCTGGGTCAGTTTGTAGGTTTAGAGGCCAGAGGTGAGACCCCCGAGGCCCGGGGCAATCAAACACTGAGAAACAGGAAAGGGCTAAAAACAGTTGATTCCCTAAATATAGGCTGTTGCCTTTCATGCATTTCCATGGAAACTGCAACTTAACTGTAACTACACTGAAGAAATCCCTGTTTTTCCTCCGCACCAGAACATCTTCTCCGGAACAGTCGGGTCAGATTCTCCAGGAAGTAGGTCATAAAATCCAGTCGTACCCTTTCAACTACCAAGAAGCGGCCATATTGAGTGGTCAGGAGGAGGGGGCGTACGGCTGGGTCACCGTCAACTATCTCCTAGAGAACTTCATAAAGGTACCAATGGACTCATGTGGTTTTTATGTGGTGACTGATGACACCTAGTGGCCGCTCCTCAGTAACTCACGCAGACTGATGTACTCTGGTATTGTGTGAGTACGATAAGTATCAGTGTGTGAATGTAGGAAATGACAAAAAAGTTTTTGTTTCCTCTAATATCCCTCTTCAGTATGGTTTCGTGGGGCACTGGCACAGCCCCGGCAGACCCACGGTGGGAGCGCTTGATTTCGGCGGGGCGTCCACCCAGATAACATTTGCCACTCAGGAAGACGTTGAGGACAAGCAAGACACGATGAAGCTGCGTCTCTATGGACACGAGTATTCTTTGTACACGCACAGCTTCCTGTGCTACGGGCGGGACCAGGTCCTCAAGAGGCTTCAGGCCCACTTAGTACAGGTGAATGTGACGCAGTGTCAACAGAAGAAAATCAATTTTATAACATTTGTTTTATATGAAATTAGTAGATGTTCATTCAGTATAAGATATAAAGTAACATAACGTAAAATATACTGGTAGAATCAGACATTTTAATGCACAAGTAGATAATTATGGTGTAAATGTGCATTTTGGAAAATCATATTTATTAAATTGAAAAACAATCTAAGTGTCCAGTCACTCACTCATGTCTCTGTCTCAGTCTCAGGGTTATTCCCAGTCAGTGGTCCACCCCTGCTACCCTGCAGAACACATCTGGAGGGTAAAGTTCAGCACCATATTCGACTCTCCGTGCACAGTGGGATACAAGTCCAGCTCCTACGACCCCGAGGCCTATTTGACGTTGCAGGGCAGTGGACATTACGAGCACTGCACGGGCAACGTGTCCGAGATCTTCTCCTTCGACAGCTGTCCGTTCTCCCGGTGCTCCTTCGACAACGTGTCTCAGCCAAACCTCACCGGTAGCTTCATGGTAAGAGATACTGCAGATAATCTGACAGTGATGCTTACAAAGTTATAACGTTTAACATTTCCGACTCACTGACAGCCACGCTGTGTCATACATGTCAAAGATAATGTCTCCAAACTCTGAGTTTTGTAATTCATGTCGTCCTCCGTCAGGCGTTCTCTGCATTCTACTACACTCACTCCTTCCTGCAGCGAATCACTGGCATCACCGTGAACTCTCCATCACAGCTGGATGATGCCACCAGGATGGTGTGCGGCATGAGTTTCATTCAAGTAAAGTCCTCTTCTGTTTAGGTTCTGTTTGTTCATGATGTCTTACTTGTCATTTGTCATCAGACAGTTATTCCCTATTTGATTTGCTAATATGTATTTCTGTGGCATCCCTGTCTTAATTTAGATTTCACAATTTAAATTGTTGTAAAGACGACTCTCTTAAATGATCCATTATGTACAAAAATACAGTCTTTAAATTTATATGAATACCGTCACTCAAATGTAAATTTAATTAATCACATTGTAAATCTACACTGACAAAGACATTGAAAGAAGATGTGCAATTATTCTGGTGTTTTTGAATTTTATTCATGTGTCTTTTTATCGTATTCTCATGTGTGTTTTTTTTGTTTGGTTCCAGATGTTGCTCCTCGCTCCGGACCAAAAGTCTCGTTTGAAGGACTACTGTGCTTCCTCCGTGTTCGTCAAGGTTCTCATGTTGAGAGGATACGGCTTCGACGACACATCATTTCCTCGCATTTCCTTCCAGAAGAAGGTGAGAACTTCATTATTTACATATATGTATAAATATATGACACTAATTCCCACTGATTTGCAGTAATACTTTGTTGCTGATCCTGCAGGCCGGGGATGCCTCGGTGGGCTGGGCTCTGGGCTACATGCTGAGCTTGAGCAATCTGCTGCCAGCAGAGAAAGTGGGGAAGAGGAAGGCCCTGACCCTGAGTGCGTGGGGAATGCTCATCAGTCTCTGTGGCCTCCTCCTCACCACGGCCCTGGTCTTCATCATGCTCAAAGCTTGTGATGGGAAGAGGAAAGGAGGCAGTGAAAGCCCCATCTAGATACTGTTGTAGCACCGTGAGAAAAGAAAAGCACAGATATGCAGTATTACCTCCAACACGCTGGATCTGAATGATGGAGTGAATGTGTGCTTTCATTTAAGGGTGTTTACATTATCGCTCTAGCTCTTTTCAGTTAATGCTGCTGAACAATCATCCTAAACAGAAAAAATATTTGGCTCCAACTGCATGAAAGTATGAATGTTTTCTTTTGATTTCAAATCCAAAGTGCTGGAGTAAAAAGCCAACATAATGAAGAACGTGACCAAATACTCTCTGAGTGTCCTGTAGGTGTAACCACTCCCCTGGTTGCACTGACACGTCAGGCGAGGTCTGAATGTATATTTTATTCTTAAAGGAGACATATGATGCTTTTTTAATTTCCTAGTGTGTTTTATAGTGGCTCATCTCATGTAAGCAGGTGTATCCTTGCAAATTGCAGAATTTATTATAATTATGAACCTGAAAATTAGCAGAATATGTCTCCTTTAAAAAGTCAAACCATGTGGAGTGTAAAATAATCCAGCATTTTTTTTGCTTGTAGATCGTATGAAGCACACTTATAATAACCTGACGCACACTGTAGACATTACTAAAAATCGTATATAAAATATGTATTTTTAGTTTTTCTATATGAAGACTTTTATGTTGCTATTGAGCTTTGTTTGCAGAGTTTAACAGAAAAAAAAATCCATAATATAAACATTTGTTGACATAATCACAGGCTGTCAGTCTCTGAGAACATTGAAGCTGTACTTACGAGGCAACAGAAAAAAAAGCAGATTCAAAGATTGAATGGACAAACATGTTGATAAATGGAGCTTGTAATGTACATTCTTACCTTCATTTCGGCCACAATATTGATAATTTATGTTTATATTTGTATACAGTAATGCAGAATTCAGTGCAGAAACTGTGAATCTAACCATGGTGCAGTAAAAATGATTTGCATTCAAACCTAATCAACAAGTATAAAACATTTCACATTAAAAGACTAATCATTGGTCATCAACATTTATGCTGCCACATTCAGGGTGTGCGAGCTAAATGCAGCATTTACCATGTATCTGTGTTAAAACGAATTTATATTTCAATTGCAGCGATTCATGTAGCTCACAAGTAGATGTTGAATTGTACATTAATGTATATTTCAGGATTTTTTATTTTATTTTATGGAATAATACTTTTTACATCAGATCATCATGGTAAAGGTTTGTTGGATGAATCGACATTTATAATTGTGACAGTGAAATATTTTCTGTAAAATGAATATTAGCTAGATTTTTAAATTGTCGTATCACATCTTGCATTGTTTGCTCCTCCTTTATTTGAAGTCTAATTAAGTAATGTACTGTTGACCCTGTGTTAGCTTGTATATGACGCATGTATATTGAAACATGATGAAATGAAAAGGTGAAAGGAAGGAAGTGAATCAGTAGGAACTTAACACCACAAAATAATAATAATAAAAATCTGAGATTCAAAGTCCCCATAAACATAGGAATCAGAAAAGTAAAAGTCCACCTTGATATGTGGACAATGTGCTGTCTCTAACAATGTCTATCTAACTGCCCTTTATTTTTTCCTATGCTTCTTTTCAGTGTTATGTTGATTTTAACATCCGCCTGTTGTATTTCATGTAAATTGCTTTAAATTGTCTTGTTTTTGAGACGTGCCTAAACAAACTCGCCCACTGGTCTTTTATTTTGAAGTATCGTTCAAGATACCGGAAGTATTGTTGAAGATACCGGAAGAGTTTGTTTTGATGCCGGAAGTCTTTTGTACGGAACAGGTGGAGGAGCCGCTCGGTCCTGGGATGAGTTCGTGTTTCTCCGGAGCTTGTTGAGAAATTCACATTCGTGTTCGTTCGTTTGTTTGTTTGTCTGTTTGTTTGTTTGTTGCTGAGAGCAAAGTGCGGACATGTGCTCACAGACCAGGGCCGCGGCTCTGATGGCGAACATCCCGCAGGCGGACATCGATCCGTCCGGAGTCTTCAAGTACGTCCTCATCAGGGTCCACAGCCGAGAGGAGGGGGACGACTCCGAGGTGGACATCGTCCGAGGATACGGATGGGCCGAGTACCACGGTGAGTCAGGAGGGTCAGGACCCCATCACAGGGGGCCCATCACAGGGGGGGCCCATCACAGGGGGCCCCATCACAGGGGCCCATCACAGGGGGGGCCCCATCATAGGGGGCCCCATCACAGGGGGGGTCCATCACAGGGGTCCATCATAGGGGGGCCCATCATAGGGGTCCGTCCTCATGAAACTCCAGGAAACATCAGTGAGTCAGAACAGCTACCACTCATTGTCACCTATTGATGTTAAATGAGGTTAGAAAAAGCTTTGTCTTCATCCTACCTGGTTTATCTTACAGTCAATGTTTTACTGTACATGAAATTGAATGTGCTGAAAAAGAAAATCCAATTATTAAAACTGTTCACGCGTTGCTCAGCTGTCACGTTCTTCTTCTTGCAGCTGACATCTATGACAAAGTTTCGGAGGAGCTGGAAAAGGACGGACACCTGGACTGCGAGTGTATCGGAGGAGGGAGGATCAAACATGATGCCCAGGACAAGAAGATCCACGTCTACGGATACTCCATGGTGAGAGGTGCCTGCAGGAAAACAACAGTGCTTGTTGAATGTTTCAGTTCAAGTGAGCATCATTTTTAACATATTATTAAACCTTATTCTGGTTCTTGTCCCTCCAGGGATTTGGACAAGCAAACCACGCAGTATCTACAGAGAAACTAAAGGCTCGGTATCCAGACTATGAGGTGACCTGGAGCAATGAAGGATACTGAAGAGAGACCAGCCTCTGGTGGACGGCCTTTTCTCTTGGACTGACATAGTACTTAACTGTAAGCCCTCACGAGAAGGAGGAACTCCTCATTAAAAGAACATATTGTGTTTCTTAAGAAGCTTTTTGAAATTGCGTTAATTATCGAGGGTGTTTTCACACCGGCCCATTTTAGTCTGGATTCCAATGAGAAGAACCTTGAGAGGAGCTGATTCATCTCGTCTAAATCTAACTCTGAAGTTCCGTCGAACATTGTCATTATTAGCCCCCTTGTTCCGCTCAGTTGTCTAAAGGCTGCGTGTCTTCAAAGTCGGAGACAGTGGAGTATTTTTCCAGATTACCAAGATGTTATGAGCAAATACCAACTCTGCCATTCCTCCGCGGTTCATTGTGGAGAAATACGCACTGGTCCAAATCACAGGATCTTCTTCCCCGACCAATAAACACAGTGAGCGTTATCATGTGTCATTTTCTGTTTTTCATCCACTATTATCTGTACTGCTTTTCCTTTGACGTCACAGTGGAGCTGACAATCTCATTCACAGACTCACATTCACACCGTCTCCACAAGCCAGAGGGCAAACAAAATATATGCAGACTCAACACTGAACGGTCGGTCGCCAGGCTCTTGCTGTGAGGTGAAGGTGCTAACCACTAGACCACCGTGCCGCCCTTGTGTTGATGATTCTGTGTGACCAAGGGGGAAATACTATGAGTTTACAAATTTATCAACTGATTTGGATCAGAGCAAAGAAACTACAGGTGTGAAAACAAACTGACACACGGAGACGAGCCTGAACTGTTTTTAAAAGAAAGAACTGGTCACAGACTTGTCTCAGAATTGACCTCATCACCACACCATGTTGAAAAGTAATACTTTGTTGTATGTTTGATAAATGTCTCCTAGAATCTGTAATTAAAGTTGCGTGTTGCTCCAGAAAAACTAAAACATCCCCCATCGTTATCTGACCTTTGTTTTACAGCAGTTTTATTCCTGGAAGCTGCAGAGCTTTAAACTACTGATTAATGTGGTGAACTTTACTGAATGATAAAAGCAAATGAACTTGATGATCTGCCATATATCATTACTTTTTTTCTAATACAGTTTACATTTATTCATATTTTAAAAGTTTCCTGCTGAATTGAAAATACCTGAATCCCCTCAGCTGGAATAAGATTTTTCCCGCTCTGCCAACATGACGTGAATGCATCATGAAACATCTTAAAACTCTTGACTAAGACACATTGAACCTTCAGCTGCTTGTGTGAAGCTCAAAGTCAATTCTCTCAGAATCATAATCTGCAATCATGTTGCTTCAGTTATTGTGCAACCAGCGGATGTGTCCTGTGGAAATCTGTAATATGGAGGAAATTATTTTACGATGGTTTGTTGCAGTTGCATTCTGGGTGATTTTAAAGTCCAGCTGTTATCTCTCTGAAGCGGAGATGAGGTCAGGGTGGACTATTAAAGTGTCTCCAGGTTGTGTTCGAACCTTCAGACTCATCAGGTGGAAGAGGGAGGAAGATGTCAGAGCGGAGGAGCTCAGCGCTGCTTCTGCTGCTGATCCTGCACTGGGGTAAGTTCCCACTCACTCCACTGGTTTTAGTATTTATCAACACTGCTGCTGAAGGGGATAAACCAGTTGCCTTCATATTTCTACCCATGTCACAGAAGTCACATAAAGAAACATTAAGGTCTTATCATGTTTTCCAGAAGCTTTCAACTTTCAAAAGAAACTTCAATGGAAAATATTTTTCCAAGTCAAGAATCTACGTTTTTCCTTGTTGTTGCCGGCTTCACTTCAGCTGCTCACACAAGTTTGTTGTGGCTTTTGAGGTCACTGAAATGACAATTAATGATAAGAAATATTTTAACTGAGGATTTAAAGCCACTGTTTGATCATTTATTCCTCACATGCATTTTTTATTCAGCTTTGAAAGAAAATAAGAGTTAACATAAAAAAAATGTTTCATATTAATTAAACACATCACTGTTGCATGTTTTATAACATTCTGTGAGTGTGACAAGTGAAAATATTCTCTCTAGGAAACATGCAAATACCTGCTCGGTGTCATGTTTGATTTACAAACTCTGACTCAGAGACCTTTGGATGGACGCCTGGTATTCTGCTGCCTTTAACCTGATAATGTCTTCCTGGCCTTTGAGCCTGGCATTAACCAGGTGGTAAACCTCAGACGGTAATGACTCCTGATAAGAGAGTTTGGGGCTGAGTCATCTGTGAGACTTTATGCAACCTTGAAACAGAGGAAGAAGAGAGAAAAACACTTAAATAACCAGAATGTCACGTCAAACCTCCGCCAAGGCCCCTCATGATTTAAATTCACTAAGTTGTGCAGTTGAATCCCTCATCAATGCTTCAGTTATCAGTTTAAATGTCCTGCATTAGTTTGGGTTGATCTTAAGATCTGTCCCCTGATGGTTTTTCTTCTTATTGCACAGTTGCTGATTCTCAGGTTCAGTCCTGTCAGTCCCCTGAGAGGAAATGTGACTTTGTGTGTGACTGTGGCGACTGCAGCGACGAGCAGAACTGTGGTCAGTCCAAGAATCTTCTCAATTATTTATCTTATTCTCACCTCTGCGCCTGATCGAAAGACAGTTTCATTTTTAAACTATTAATAGTGATTAAATATATACTGAAAAAATATATATACTTATGTGACTAGCAGAAACTGAACGAACTTGATTATTATTATTATGATTTAACCCTTTTTAAGTCGGTGAAGATGATTTCTGTTGAAGTATTTATTATTTGTCCTTCATATTTTAAGGCTACACAGGAAAAGGGTTCGAGTGTGACTTTGAGGACGCAGCCCAGTGTGGGTGGACTGACCGCTCCATCAATGAAGCGTACAGCTGGGGGAGACACCAGAGAGGAGACACGCTGCCGGACAGCGGGCCGTCCTCTGACTACACCACTGGGACGGCTGCAGGTATCATTTATTTATATTTACTGAAATAAGGAACAGATTTCATGCTGTGTCTCATTTATACCACTAGAGGGCACCGGTGCAATGGCACAGTGATCCATCCCCAAATAATCCAGAGCATTTTAAAAAGCAGCAGTGGTTGAATTCACAGTCGTCATCAAAGTGGAAGACGAGCGTTGGTATTAGATTGTAACTCATGTCAGGAGGAGATCCTCAGGGTGGTGTGGTACTGGTCATCAGGGAAAGTGTTTAAAATATTCATTTGGATCATGGAAAGCAGTAAATCTCTCTCTCCATTTGAAGACTATAAAACACACTGCACAGTTTCTACAATGTGAAACTACAATTGTTAATGTTAGTTGACACCGTTTGTCATGAAAAGTATTTGTGGTTTTAGTGAGACTATGTTTATATAAAGGATTAACTGTCACATACCATAAAGAGCAAATCCAGGATGTGATATAATGTGCTGTTGATGGTGACACTAGAACTAGGACAGAGCTGTTTATTCTCTCGCAAACTTTACATAACTAATGCTTTCACGTTTTGTTTGCTTTATAAAAGGTGTCAATATTATTTCAAATGCTCATGGCGCAGCGTTGGTGACAGGAGCTGCTGTGTAGCCACAAGGCCACAGACAGTTATCAGCCGACTAACCTGTAACATGAATAACATGGGATCTATGATTCATATTTCCTGTAACAGGCTGGTTTATGGGAGTGAGCGCTGTGAAGTCCGAGTCTCTGAGAACTGCAGTTTTAATGTCTCCAGAGATGAGACAGTCTTCACCAACCTGTCGTCTTCGTCTCAGATATTTCCTGTGGTACTCAGGTAACAAACGTGAATGACTGCAGGTCTCACATTTAAATAGTTCACTGTGAAAACATGACTTCTATTGACAGTATTTATTGTATTTGTTTGGTTTTAATTTCTGTACTTGATGTTTTGTACAGAAATTAATGAAAGTAATGATACTAATTTAACCGATTATTACTCAGGTCACTCAGATCTGGGTTCCACACCACTGTGGGCGTCCGTCCTTCACATGGATTCTTCAGAGGCCACAGTGTGGCGTCCTGAGGCCACCAGTGTCAACAGCTGGAGGGAGGCGACCATCTTTTTGGGCCGTATTCCCACAAGCTTCCGAATCCGTCTTTACTCACAGCGCTCTGACGGGCAAAAAGGAGACGTGGCCATAGACCAGCTGGAGTTTCTGGACTGTGCTCTGCCCTGTGAGTCCCTGAAAATATCCCAATCCCAACAATGAATATAAAGAAATGAATCAATCGTCAGTATTTTGAAGTTGTTGTTATCTACCTCTACATCACCAGTGCCAGTCCCTGGTAAAGACTGTCCAGCAGAGATGGTGAAATGTAAGAACGAGGGCTGCGTGGAGCAGCGGCAGGTCTGTGACGGCACTGATGACTGTGGTGACGGGAGTGATGAGGAGAGATGTGGTGAGAAGTCACATCATCTGAGTCTTAATAAAAATATTGTCTTAAAGTATTTCTATTTATTGCCATTGTCTTGGTTGGTTTATATTTTCTTGGCTGGAGGGACTGTAACAAAACTAACTTCCAAATAGCCTGTGTGAATGTTTTTATACAGTTGTTTTTATTTCCTCTCCCCTCTGCTCACCAGTTAACGTGAGTTGTGTGTAACGTTGTGTCCAGATGGGTACCAGCTCTGTGACTTTGAGGACGGTCTGTGTAATTGGGACCTGAGGTCGCTGTCCTCACTGAAATGGGTGCGGACGAATCAGGAGAACATTTCCATCTCAGATCCTCTGAAGGGACCAGGCAGGGATCACTCCAACCACAGTACATCAGGTAACATTCATGTATATAAATAGAAACTGTGCTGTTGTTCTCTGGTTCCTACTTTTACATACCATCATTTTTATTATTGCAGGTTACTTCCTATACGTCACTGTCCCCGACGGTGGTCTCTCAAGGGACTGGGCCGCTTTTCAAACTCGTCTTCTTGATCCCACCAATAGTTCACATCCTTGCAAGGTGAGAAGTTGATTCTTTCCACCAGTCAGAGAGTTTTCCTCCTCAATTTCATCAATCAAATCTATTTTGACAAGTTTCCACCGTCTGCCTGCTGCAGATGGTGATGTACACGCACCAGTTTGGGCCGAGGTCAGGCGGTCTGACGGTGCTGGTCGCTGAGAGAAAGATCTACCCTGTGTGGGAGCGAGGCGGAGCTCTGGGTGATGTCTGGGTGAAGGCAGAAGTGGAGATTGTCTCCAGCTTCCCTTTCCAGGTGAGTCCTTCTCCTCAGGTTGTAGCTATAGAAACACAACGCTGATTGTAGCCTGCAGTCAAACATCTTTAATAGTGAGATCTGTCCCTAATTAAGGGGAATAACAGAAAAATCATTAGAGATGGTTTCATATCATTAAATATTCTTAGTTTATTTCACGAATATAATCTGTGAATTTCCATCTATGACGAAGATGTAAAGCCTCACAAGCTAACATATAATTTTCTCTCTTTGCAGATTGTAATAATGGCAGCAATCAGAGACTTTGCATACGGGGGTATCGCCGTCGACAGCATCATGTTGTCCCCTGAATGCCGCAGAACATCTGGTAAACCATGGTCTTAAATAAACCTGATCTGTAAAAGAATCACCCTCGGCAGGATGATAACGTACTGTCTCACTTTCTCTCCTCGAAAAGCAAACTATACCCTCCCAAAATTCCCTGAATCTCCCAGAGACCCGTGTGCCGAGCCCGACAAGATGTGCGATTTTAAACCGGACTGTCTGGGATCAGAGGATGAGGCCGGATGTGGTGAGCTCCTGTTTTATCCGCCATTACGCTCAGTTATCAACAGGTCTGCTACTGAAGTATTTGTTCAGGGCAACAAACAAAGCATCTAATGTGACCTCAGCTGCCAACAGGGAGTTAAAAATGACATCTACAAAAGGCTTCGATTGAAACATTTTTTAGGGCCAAAAATAAGTTTGTGATCTTTATCACCTCTGTCTCTTGTGTATGATGTTTCTGTTTCATGTGCAATGTGTTCTGTGCCTGAATGAATCGTGTCTGCAGGGGATTTCTCGTCCCCTGAGGGCAGCTCAGGCTGGACGGATTCCAGCATCGGGGGTCAAGGTTGGGTGCTACATGAGAATTCCACGTCCAAAGGTGCAGCTTCATTACATCACTCTCTTCAGCTACTCATTTCATATAGTCATTAAAAAAAATGTATAATTTTTTTTACTTACGTTTCCTAGAGGAGTACCTTTATGTCGCCCGGGCCTCGGGCCAGCAGCTGACTGACGCCCAGACTCGGACCCCCCTGCTGGGACCCTCGGGCCCAGCCTGCTCCCTCAGCTTTGATTTTGCACTAACTGGAAATCCAGATCACATCGGTACAGCTGTTTTTTTTACTTCTTCCATTTTCCCCCTGACACACAACTCCAATCTTTTAATCAGACTCTGTTTACTTGCCGCAGGTGAGCTGTCTGTCAGGGTGATTGACAGCTTGCTGGGCATGCAGCCTAAAATGTGGGAGTTCGCTGGGAAGACGGGAGCAGGAGAGGGGGCGTGGCACCATTCCCACGTAACTGTTGGAGCCAGGAAACATCGCTTCCAGGTCAGGATCAGCACAATTCATCAAATCTACTTATTTTGCATTGACGATAAGTTTCAGCTTCTCCTCCTCAAAATATTTTTTTTCTTACAACCAAACACATAGAATTGGTGTCTGTCGTTTTTTATGATTAAAATTTTTGCTTTAACGTTCAGTAAAGTACATTTTTAACCAGGAGGGCAAACATGATTGGTTGATCCTTCCAACTAAAATAACAGACTAACCTAAAAAATTACAGATAAACATATTATAACTTATAATTTACACACTAATTTGAGTTGTTTTATGTAATGTTTGCTTCCTCCTGCTGCACCCTTGATGCCAGATTTCAACAGTTTGTATCAGTTTTCACTGAGTAACTCATTTCCTGTGTGTTCAGTCGTTGTATTTTTACATCGTCCTCTTCCATTTGTCTTGTTTTCTCTTGTCCAGCTGGCGTTTGAGGCTCGTGCTGTGAAACTGTGTCCCTGCTCCAAGATTAAAGTGACAAACGTTAGCTTCATCAACTGTCACGCCGATTATTTTCCGTCTTCTCCAACCGGTGATTCTCACATTTACAGTTCTGCACAATCCATATGTTCATACTTTATCTACGAATCTTTGATTTTGATTTTTCTTTTGGCCAGCACTGTCATGTAACTTTGAAGATGGACTGTGTGGATGGTATCAGGACAACAGTGACAACTTTGACTGGACGGTGCACAGCGGGATGGATCACACCATCGGGATCGGTGAGACACATTAAAAAATAATTTGATAGATCAACACAGCCACAAGTCTGCAAGCTGTTATAAGTCTAGTGTTCAGAGGGCGTCAGAGAAGATGGAGTGACCATCTCATCAGTAAAATGTATTTTTCTGATTCTCTTTTAAGTCTCCCTCCCTGTCTCTCTAATGATGTCCAGGTAAGAGTCTTGTCGTGGACATGTGGAATCCTTCTCTGCGCGGTTTGTTCGGACGCTTGGTTTCATTTATGCAGATGCCCAGTCAAACAGATTACTGCCTGTCCTTCTTCTACAAACTGTACGGACCCAACACAGGTGAGGACGTGACTGTTATTAACAATGAAACATCGTGATCTCAAACCCTGTGAAAAATGTACAGTTAATAATTTAATCCATTTTTGTTATTTTTTTTACACCTCCTCCTGTACAGGTGCTCTTAATGTAAAGCTGTTGGATGGCCACGGGTATGAGGTCATCCTCTGGACCCGCAGCGGAGCTCATGGCAACATGTGGCACGAAGGACAATGTCCAGTACCGCACCAACTCACAAGCTTCCAGGTACGAAATAAATTCACTCTGCAATTATTCATCAGTGTCTCAAACGTGATGCATGTTTATAATTAAAAATCAGTGTCAGGAGGGGGACAGGTATTTGACGTACAGCATTAAAGAAAGGAAAGATATAGACAGATCATTCTTTTTTATTCATCGTGCCCCACAGCTGATGTTTGAAGCTGTTCGCGCCGGCTTTGACGGACAGGTGGCCATCGATGATGTGGCGTTTGTGGCTCGTCCGTGCTCCGTGCCCAGGATGTGTTCCTTTGAGGGCCAGAAATGCGGGTACAGCAGCTCGGGTAAAGTTCGCTGGCTCCACCACAGCGGACGCACCACGATAAGGGGACCCAGAACTGACCACACTCTGGAGACCGACCTCGGTGAGAGAAGATGGGGTCACATAACATTGAGGTTTTTAAAGTGTGAGCAGAAAACTGATGGAAGTCCAACTGTGGTTCTCAGGTTTCTACATGATGGTGAACACCAGAGCCGACATTCTTCCCTCTGGCGGCACGGCGGTCCTCACCTCCCCCGTTCGTCAAGGAGCCTACAGGACTGAGTGTGTGCACTTCTGGTACCACATGGGCGGAGCGAACCCTGGTGAGGCACCTTCACACACACACACACCCAAAACACACACACACACACACAACCTAACACAATTAACTGTGAGATCTTTGCAGGTTCTCTGACGGTGTACATGAAGCCGGCGAAGGGAGAGAAGGTGAAGATCTTCTCCGACAGTCAGAATCAAGGTGACGTCTGGCGCCATGGCAACGGCAACATCTCTAGCACCCTCGTGGACTGGCAGGTATGAGGGAGGAGGGAGGAGGGGGCTGCTGCAACAACTATAGACATTTCACATTGACAGTTATCATGTGATTGATTATCTTAAGCATTGAAAGAAAGTAATTACTCCAATTTTTAATCAATAAAGTCACATGAAAAAAAGTCAATAATAAAATATGGCTGTATCTCTATCTCTATATCTATTCTGTCTCACAGTTCATTTTATTTAACTCTGAGATGTGAAGATAATTCTCTCGCTGGCCATGAGGGATGCAGGCGACAACATTCACTGATTAAAAACTGAGAATTTGATTGAAATGGAAAATTCAGAGATGAATTTGTGGTTATTTTGTTCTGCAGTTGGAGTTCGAGGTTGTCGGAGCTGGAGGCAAAGACACCCACGTTGCAGTTGATGACATCTTCCTTTCAGCGCACCCATGTGACAATCAAGGTTTGCATGAATGTAGAATGTTTCTGTTGTCAGAAATTGGGCCAGAACTCTTCAGACTTTCAAAAATAATATTCTGCAATGTCAGACCAGCCACAAACTCAAAGCTCTTAAAAGAGGCAGTTTGCATTTTACTGGTCAAGTCTAGTTTACTGGTTTCGCAATATTCAGCTTGTTCTACAGTTGATCGGAAAAAACTCCAAGGCCTGATATTGGAGACACAAAGGACGTTAAGAAGTTAAACTACATTTTAAAATTATATATGTATTTTTAAAGCAAGGCGGTTTCCTCTTTGTGATATTGTCTATTTTCGGTCTGTTCATTATGTCAGGTTCTAGGTGCAGTCTGGAGAGAGGGATGTGCAGCTGGAGCAACACACAAAACGTTAAAGTAGACAAACTGGACTGGGAGCTGACGAGTCATGAGGCGGAGAAGCACTACTCCACCCCGACAGAAGATCACACTCTGGGCACAGAGAGAGGTGAAGCAGAGAAACAAATAGAGAAAATCATTTCTGTGTCCCGGTCTGCGTTAGTTTTTAAGCCACCTTCCCTTTCTTCTTTCTTCCAGGTCACTTCCTGTTTTTCCCCAGCAGCGATCGGACGGCAACCAATCAGAATGCTCAGCTGCTGAGCCCTCACCTGCCCCCGACCAAGGACACCTGCCTGAAGTTCTGGGTTTACAAACCTTTCTCATGTAAAGATCAAAGTTCTACCATCCCACCATTACTGGTTTGGACAGTACAGTTATCAATAAACCTTTAAGGTGTTGTCCCGACGTGTGTGATTTTATCTTTATTTGTTTTGACACATTATTTTGTAGCTGACAACCAGCTGAATGTGTGGAGGCTGTCTGAGGGTCTTCTTAATGAGCTGCTGGTGGTGAAGGAAGTGGGAGGACCGTGGAAACGCTTCGACGTCAACATCACGTCTGCTGAGGAATACCAGGTCAGACTGTCACACTGCATCACATGGAGAAAGTAAAGGAGACATATGAGGCCTGTTCCGTTTGTCTTTCTGCTCGTGTGTTACATGGATTTTTTGTGTAAGTTAAAAGCATCAAGGCTCAGTTAACACGACTGTTTAAACTCCTGAAACCCCCTCATGGGTCGTTCAACTGATGCTTCTTCTCACACGCAACAAACATAGACAGAAAAAAAAAATCTCCTGGTGAAAAAGCAGGATCACGTGTAGCCCAGACCTGAACTTGTGTAAAGGTTTGTGTTGGAAAGTGGACTCGATGGGATTTTTCTGTTTGAAATAGACATTCTTCATGTTTCTGTCGTCTTTTATTCTCAACAGATTGTGTTTGAAGGAATCAAAGGCACTTTAGGCGTCATCGCTCTGGATGACATTGAATACACCATCGGAGTCAACTGTGCTAAGACAAATTCAGACACATGTAAGTGCTCACATCCAAAAATGTGTGGTATGCTCAATTTGTCAAATACCAAGACTTACTAACTGGCTTAACATGCAAAACCACATTCTCTCCCTTTTCACTGAGTGTTCTGCTTGTCCTCGCCCCCCTGTCTGGTAGAAACATAAACTTACGGTTGTCACCTCCCCCGCAGCCTCACCAAATCGAGAGAATGCAGGAGGGGTCGCAGCGTCCGTCTTCGTGCTCCTGCTGCTGATCGCCACTCTGATCGCACTGTTGATTTACTACCTTCAAACTCGCCAGAAGGTCGAGGCTGCGACTGGTCGGTCTTCCTCTTCCCCAGGCAACGGTGGTTTCGGAAATGAAACATATGAACCAGAGCTCACAGTGAGTTCACTCAGACCTCTGACCACACTGATCCACGAGCATCACAGGATTATTCTGCTTCACTAACTTCATTACTAGTGTGATGGTCACTCTGCTGGGAGAAGGTTCAGGAGACAGAACCTAGTTAAAACCAAATATTCTCACGCTCACACACAGAGAATATCAGGGTAGAGAAGAAGGAGATTAACTCAGAACGTTGACAAGAAGAAAGATAAATTATAATTTATTAGTTATTTATTTCACATGAATGAACTTATGACCTTGATAATCATGTGTTCATTTTAGCAAGACCGTATGAGGGTGCCATCTACTCAAAACCATCCAATGGCCGCTGGGTTCAATAACGTCACTGTGAGTATTTTAAACACTGACAATTACTATGATTAACCGTGATCTTTTTTTTACCGTTGACTCCTCCTGTTGTGTCTCTGCAGCTCTCTCCTGATGACAGAGAGATGGAGGTGGCGTAAGGCAGGTGCAGCGGTGGGCCTGCCACCCGAAGGTGGCTTTGTGAAAATGAGGCGACATCACAGCAGAAGAACTGCTTGTGTCGCCCTTACATCACACACACACACACACACACACACACACACACACACACACACACACACGTACACACACATACACACACACACGTACACACACACACACACACACACACACTCAAGGCTTGCAGCTCTCTGTCTATGGACGGAGAGAGGTCGGAAGGAGGACTTCAGATGTGTTGTGGCTGGAAATTTGTTTTAAATTTCTTTAAAATTGAGATTGGGCATATCCCATGGTTTCAGACATGATGTGTTCGGAGGTTCCCACAGAGCCAGGTTAAATGAAACATGTCTGAATCGTGTTCGTCCTGTTTCGGAAGCATTTAGCGGGTTGAGCTCCTTTCTCGTGGCTGAAGTGACGTGTCAGTCAATTCACTGTGGAATTTCTACTCAGCCTGTGAAACCAGTGAGACTCGTGTTTTTTGTGGCTGTGGAGAAACTCCGACAAAGTTGAGAAAATTTGCTAATTCATCGCCCAGAAATCTCAGCTTTACAAGAGAAAGCCTGAACTTCAGACTGAACGTTCAAAAGATATGAGTTTATGAGACAGGGAGAATCTAATGAAAGACCTGGTGTCCTCGAGTTGTGTTATGGGAGGAGACCTTTCATCGAATGGCAAAACTAAATCAGTGGTGCGACCCCTCACAGAGGAAGGTGAAGGAAAAGATGGACGATAAAGAGACAGTTTAAAACTAGTGGAAAGTATAAAGAAGTAAAGAAAGGAACTTTTGTTTGGAAGAAGACTGTTGTACGGTTTGTTCTGAATGTGTCAGAGTGTTAACTTAGCTGTGAAACATGAGATAATTGAATGATAAATAAATTAAAGTTGAGCACTGAAACAATGATGTCAGTATTTTTTTACTTGTGTCGTGATGATCATTCCTCAAAAAAATCACTATCTACAGAATGTCCTTTTTTTCTTGGTGTTTTGGTTTCATTAGATTATTTGTGGTCAGTTAACAGAAGATTACTTGAACTATAACTAATATTTAATCCTGTATTCACTATACATTTTACATATCATCAACTTTATCAGTTAATTATCTGATAATTGGAATAATCGATATCCTTTATATTAATTTTCAGTGGATGAATGTAATAATAATAATAAAGGGGCTTGCGTGCTCTTAATTTGAAGCTCCCTGTGTGGCTCTGATTGGCTCTATTCATGTTTCGGAGGAGATGATGACGACATCCTCCCCCTAGCAACAGTTGCGTCTCTACGGCAACATCATCCAATGTCCCCTCTCCGCTGTTGCCACCATGGCTCTCATCTGTTGCCAGTGAGACGGAGACAAATGATTGCGGAGGATGCTGCTGTCTCGGGTGGAGTGAGGGAGACCACTGCAGCAGCAGCAGCAGCAGCAGCAGCAGCAGCAGCAGCAGCAGCAGCAGCAGCAGCAGCAGCAGCAGCAGCAGCAGCAGCAGCAGCAGCAG